TCATTACTCTGCTCTCCTCCCCACTAATAGCTGATGTGTGGGGAGCGTTCTGGCGCACTATGGCTGCCGTCGCATCATCCAGGTGGGGCTGCACACTGCTGGTGGTGGAGGGGATCCCCATTGCCTGTAAAGCGCTTTGAGTGGAGTGTCCAGAAAAGCGCTATATAAGTGTAAGGAATTATTATTATTATTAAAGCTGCCCATTCCTAGTTGTGTGCCTTTGCCCACCTTACTGACGCATTTACACAAAGAGTGGTAGGAGTGGGGAATCTCGTGATGAGATCCTGTGATCAATTGACTGCTAACAACCAAATGGGCTGAATGGCCACTTCTTATTTGTAACTGTTCTTACACCTTAATGTTCTTGACTTGCTGGTCTTGGCTCTTGATATAGTGGTGTGTGCACAGGTATAGCTGCTGGCTATATGGCTGAGCATAGTGAAATGTATCACCCTTTAACTCACAATGGGCAGCCCACTGGAGCTCAGCAGGTGGGAGCCTGGCCATTACCTGGAGGGGAGGCTCCTGGGGAAGCTGAGGCTGCTGCTGGAAGAGGTGTTAGTGGGACCAGTTGGGGGCGCTCACCCTGCAGTCTGTGTGGGTCCTAATGCCCCAGTATAGTGATGGGGCTCCGTCCTGACTCTGTGGTCATTAAAAATCCCAAGGTGTTTCTTTTAAAAGAGTAGGGGTGTTACCCCTGTGTCCTGGCCACATTCCCCCCTGGTCTTTACCCATCATGGCCTCCTAATAATCCCCCTCTCTGAACTGGCTTCATCACTCTGCTCTCCTCCCCACTGAGAGCTGGTGTGTGTGGGGAGCGGACTGGCGCATCATCCAGGTGGGGCTGCACACTGGTGGTGCTGGAGGAGATCCCCATGACCTGTATAGAGCTTTGAGTGGAGTGTCCAGAAAAGCGCTATATAAATTTGAGGAATCATGAACAGTGAATTAGTGCAGTGAGCTCCAGGCTATGGCTTGGACGTGGGCGCCACCTGGTGGTTGTGCTTGGTACTGAACTGTGTTCTGAATCCCAACAGGTAAGCTGCGAGGACCCCTGTCCAGGATGGACCCCTTCATGTGCGCCCAGTGCAAGACGGACTTTACCCCGCACTGGAAGCAGGAGAAGACCGGGCGCATCCTGTGCGAGCAGTGCATGACGTCCAATCAGAAGAAGGCTCTGAAGGCGGAGCACACCAATCGGCTGAAGAATGCCTTCGTCAAGGCTCTGCAGCAGGAGCAGGTCAGCCAAGCCTGGGCTTCATCCCTTTGTTGGCAGGAGATGACGCGGCATATCTGGCGCCCTCTAGTGGCTGCGCTGTAAAATCGCGAGATGACACCGCACATCTGGCGCCCTCTAGTGGCCCAGCCAGTCAAAGCGCAGGTTGAGTCCTGCCATCCATCTGGGACTGGCATTCCCCCGATATCAACCGGGCCTCACGGGCAGTCAGGCTACGATCAGTCCAGCCAGGTCCCTCTTGGGGCTCCTGCGGACTAGCAGAGACGCGGGCTAGCTCGGAGCATCTCCAGTGCCGATGGACTCTGCGGGTGGGCGTGTCAGAGGAGACTGTCCACGTCTCTTTCTCTCCCGAGTGGGGAAGAGGGCATCGCCAGGGTGGGATAGGAAAGTAATGTCAGGGGCGATTTCAAATTGAAAACAATAGTCTGGATAAATGAGAAACAAAAGTTATTTGGCGGTTTATATTCTTTCTCTTGCTTTTGTCATTTGTCTCCTGTGTAAAAAAACTATTACAAAAAGCATCACACTGAATATTCCCTATTGGGTACTTGTGATTAGAAGATAAGGGAAATTGACTAAGAGCCAATGCATAGCTTTTTGTAGTAGCTATATGCACAACTTAGATCACCTTCTTGTTAATTTGAAAAAAGTAATCCCTTACACTTGTAAAGAATTTAACAGCCTTGTCATACACTGTGTATTATATCCCCCCAGAAGTATTTCTGACTGCATCTCTACTAGATGTGACTGGCCAAAGGTCTAGTCCTTCCAGAATGTTCTGTTTGAATTGATCAAATTGGAATTTTAAATCTGCAGCAAACAATTTAAAGAGGTTTTGATGGAAAAACAAGTGATCCCAGTCTTTGCCGTAGTGAGATCTGAGAATAACAGAATAATAATTCTCACCATAGTGAGAATAACACGTCTAGATTCAAAAGCTGAAATCAGACACTTGGAACAAATGCTGTAATTTTGTTTGGTCTCAGGATTCCATTTTTTCCAAAGTGTGATTTCCATTCATACAACAGATGCTTTGGAAAACCTCAGCCTATAACGCCACTGCAAGCTTTAAATAGAACTAATTCTACTGGTATAATGGTGTGTGCGTTCATTGACATCTCCCTCCTTAGTCAATTAATAATCAATTCACATGTGTTCAATCAGCAGTAATTAAACATGATGTCATGAGCCAAATAATCAATGTAATTCAACATTTCATGTGCGGAGTTAAAAATTCAGTTATTTCAGAGATGCATCCTGAAACTGAGAAAATGATCTTTTGCCATTCATTTGGACAGAATCCATTTGCATCTCAAAAAGCTCTTGTGTTACTGATGACAATTGCAGTGAACCCAGTGTGTGGGTTGTAATGTGGAAATTGTCAGGAGGAGCTTAGTTTCCAAACCTCAAACTAAAATAACAGTCTCCATTTTGGAAAAAGGCAAACCCAGCTTCAGAATTGCCAGTGAAACACAAAGCCAGGACACAACTAGAAACTCTGAAGAAGAGAATTTAGAACCGAGAACAGAAGGCTCTTCTTTACACAAAGGGTGGTGAGGGTGGGGAAAAAGCTGCCCAGACATGGTGTTGAAGCCGATACCTTGGCTTCTCTCCAGACACATGGATGGGATCCTAGGATCCGTGAGGTCTTTACTACCTGTCGGCTCAGATGGGCAGAACGGTCTCTCGTTTGTAACTTTGTTCAAGTAATTCAACGCAATCTGAATTAACCAAGATGAAATAAAGAGAATTGCTGATTTGCTCTCAAAGGATGTTATTGAGTTACAATGGGACAGACGTGACTTTAATAAAGCTGCTAGAGACTATCTGATTGCACAGAGCAATCCAGTGCTGCCTTTTTTCAGTACTTTGCCTCTCTTTGAAGCTCTTCTCTCCCGAAAAGGAGTTTACTACTCACTGCGAAACAACGGGTCTCCTCTCGTCTTGTAAGAAAAAAAAAAGACGTTCTAGAGCACCAGAGAACGTGGCTGAGGAAGTAAAATGCAAGTTGATGCCTCGTTTTAGACCGAGTGATGTAATTGTGCATTGCAATTGAGTTGCCCCAGCTCCCCGCCCCCCCAGGGTGTACTGACCAACGCGGGGTGTCTTTTCCAGGAGATTGAGCAGAGACTGCAGCAGCAGGCCGCCCTCTCGCCCAGCTCGGCGCCCGCTGTGCCCAACGTCAGCAAGCCAGAGAGCATGATCCGACACCACGCGCTGAGACAGGTACGGGACCCCCTGGGTCGAGGGGGCAGGGCGGCAGCTTGTCCAGTTTGCGTCTGGCCAGCCTGAGCCTGTGGATTCTCAGTGTCCACCAGCCGATAGCTTTTGGCTGCCGCTCAGACGGAGCTCTTATTTCCTCGGGTGAAATCCTCAATCCGTTCTTCTTTGATAAGTGCTGCCTTGCAAGTGAGGAGTAAGGAAGTGGCTTCATGCCTGTGCAGGGTGTAAGAACGTACCTGTGACGGCTGGCTGTGGCTGGACCACAGCTGGACAGGCCAGCTGAGGGCAGGCTGAGCAGTGTTTTGTTAGCTTGAATTCTTTGTGTGCTGAGGACTGGGTGCAGGAGATCAATTGAAGAGCTCAGTCAGCCTCTGGGATCTGGGA